TACTTAATATGCCTAATGCTGTTCATTATTATTGCTAAGTTTTCCTAAATGCATTCACACTAGTATTCGACCAATGATCAAACTTATACAAAGTTATGAAAGTTGCGTGGTCTTTGGCTACTACTTTATTACAGCTACGAGACAAAATGCAGGATGGAGCTAAGGAGCAGGGAGTTGAATGTGTGTTAGTTTGAGTCCCATGCTCACGTGGTCGTCAAGGCAAATGTATCCCGCAAATCGTCTACATGGACAAGTATGATAGTACTTCTGTATTGGCTCTAACCCTATCTCCTCCTAATGTGTTACGCCGGGCACGAGGTCACGTGAGGCAATCAGTCGCCTCGTCGTGGTTGCTGCAACCACTCTGACCAATCACTTTCCGAGGCTGACTCACACAAAGGCCCCTTTATAGGCTTGACGATCCCACGCCCACACACCGATTCCATTCGCTAGGGAGAGGCTGAAGGCAGCGTTGTCGGTGCAGAGTCTGCTGATCCTACCACTCTGGTCTCCTCATGACTTCTCTCTTCTCCTTAGGAACCGGGCATGGAAGATCGTAGTGACAAATGTTTACTCCATTAATCTTAACACTACTCGATACGTCTTTAGTGTACGACAAATCTGCTTACTTGTGGACCATTGTCCTCTATCCGGCCTTATTCTGGGCACAGTTCTATCATTAATAATGCGCCTTACGCATGTTGAAAAAAGACTTGATAGCAACACACGCAGCACTCATGCTGCTGCAAGTTTCTGTATTCATCCATAGTAAACTGCAGGTAAAAATTGTTTAAACATCGTTCACCTATGGCGTGACAGACAACGGGGACGAAATGTCGCGAGTTTTCATGATTGACGGCAAGAATGAACACTGGAAATTTTAATGGGACATCAAGATTGTACAAAAGCACTGAGATGCGTGGGTGGGCAGCCTTCCTTCTGCTTTTTTTTTCTCTCTCTCTGCGCTCCCGCCGAGTTACTCACCCCTTTTACTCCCCTACTCCCTGTGTGTGTATCTTGCTCCCTCTTGCTCCTCCCCGTTCATTTTACCGTTCACCCTATATGATGATGACGGTATGCCGTACTTCCTAGCAGATACTAACTAATAGCCCAGCCACCTACTTCGCCGATGTTTCTGCTGCTGTATGATATAACAACGAGGACTTCAGCTCCTCCGTGGGTTCCCCAACGTTCTCTATGCGATTTCTAGTATATGTCCTCCAGATAATAGTCAAGGCAATCATTGTGGAAAATATTAAGTGTATGACATGGAAGCAGGTGATCGGGACATGACTTTAGAGGGCAAGATCCTAGATTTCGATGAACACTGGAATCGAAGACAATCGACTACCATGGAATATCCAAGGATTATCCGTTCTACAAACGCATAACACTACAAGTAATGTGAGTTCTTGCTAGTATCTATGCGGAAGTACGGTATAACATCATTATCATACAGAATTCGCATCCGTTTTGAATGGGCATTCCGTGATTATTCCATGGTAGTTGATTTTCTTTGCCTCATGTTCATCGAAATCTAGCGTCTGACCCTTAAATGTCCTGTCCCGATCACCTAATTGCATGTCATGCACAATTATTCCTCTAATATATATGTTGAAATACGGGCATCCCAAGATATTTAATTGAGAAGAGAGTATATATGTTTGTTTACGGTCCTTACTTTCAGTGTGGTAAACAAAACTATGGCCCCACAATTATATGACACAAACGTCACAGATTTGCAAAACAGAAAACAGTGCGATATCACATACCTGCTTTTTTCTGACTTTCATAAATGCAAACAGAGATTTCCCGTTCTCTGATAAGATAAAGCTGCAACGTGTTTGGCTTATATTTTTGTGTTATATGATGCAGTACGCATAAACAACTCGTTTTGAACCTAAGCGTTTAATGCTAAGTGCTGGGAAGCGTTGAATTTGGCCAACCTTTTGCTTCAATAAACTGGTCTGGACTGAACTATTTTCCAGTAACTAACCTTTTGCGTATCAAGTCACTTCAATGAATAAAAACAACCTCATTGTGTATTAAACTATTCCCCACAAGGGACAATCTTTATATCACATGAGTTTGGTAATCTACTATTTTCACAATTGAGTCAACTAAATTGTTCAAATCTGCCAAC